GATACTCAGATTTCTTGAACATCCTGTTCACTCATTTCTAATCCCTCCGATTTAAAATATTAAATGCTAAAGTAAAAAGGCTTCGGAAAATACCGTGCTTTCCTCCACCGTAACGCCACCAGTCCTGACCAGAAGCATGCAACCATTTTTGCTGACCCGACTCATGCTGATTGCTGAAACGGGACAACAGTATACTGAGGTTACAGAACAAGGCATGCTTACCTACTCTCAGCCACACTGCACACCAGTCTTCTCCAAGCTGTTGACCTCCAGAGCTGGGGCTCTAACTTACACATCACCCCTTGTCAACATGCCCATCTCACATCAGGTGTCTGCATCTGTAGCCAAACTGCCTGAAGGCAACAGCCTGAAGAAAGCGGATGCACTTGGCAGAACTCCTCAGAGTGGAGACGGGTCTGAGGCAGTGCCCACAGCCAACCCCCCAAACCCTGACTTTTCCAGAACACCCAAAACAATACTGGGGAACGTACAGAAGATAGAAAAAGTACTTTCCAAGTTGGGTAAGGAAAGCTATACAAATTGCCCACCAAGGGTAAAGGTGGCTGAGAAGACACCAAGACATCTTGCAGACTGCTTGGAAAAAGAAAAGAAAAATCTCAAGCCTTCGTATAAGCAACAGGCAGGTAATGTTCTTTAGTCATCTTCCCAAGCAACTGTGCGACACCGATCTCTGATCTGCCAAATCTCTCCGCTGAGAAAAATCCAAACAAATTCTGATGCAACCTTCTGCACCTTCCCAGCCAACCCGTGACATTGTCTTCAAGGCCAGGCGTGTCTTGTGTTCAAACACCATGGCATGCATCTCTGTCTCAAGGCCAAAGAAAAGGAAACCAAGGGGAATTTTCCATTATTTGCGCACATGTATACCAAGGGATGCGACAGCCACCCAACTCTGATGGAACCAAATCAAAACAAGAACATCCTACCCACAATAAAATGAAATCAGCATCAGGGGAGGGACATGTGCCCAAGTTGCCCCCTTGAAGTTGACTTAAAAAAAATAAACTCAAATCCTCAACTCAAAGTAATGGTCACAGGGAGCTATAAAATTCTGCTGAAAGTCCCCCCCCCCCCTCGCCCTCGGGCGAACACGCCCTCGGTGGGTTCTGGGGGGGACACCACCCAACCGCACAAATA